GTGTTTGCGATGTATCGATGATGAGGGGGTGGGGGGAGGGGGGGTCCTATCTTCTTCTTTCTTCCTGCGTTCCATTCCCTCTTTTTCTTCTCATCTCTGAACACTACGACCGTCACACTGACGAGGTCCAGTCGCAGTGTTGAGCTAAGACGTATATATGACTTCATGGATCGAAACATCTTAACTCTCTCGTACTTATTTCTCCTGTACCAGCAATATTTCTACATTTTGCATTACATAGTTCGTTCTATTCTTGCCTTATTTTTTAAGTTCTTCATATTACTTTCATGCTACAATCATGCGATAATCAGAGTAGCTAAATCACCCTCCAGGAAGGCGCCCTGGATCCGTCTATGCTTGGAATAGCTGATCTGCATAAGATCTAGCACTGGAACATCACGCTGACTGAACTTGTAGTTGGGTGAGGCGACTAACCAAATTGTATTTTTTACAGGGATTTCATCAAAACCGATGTTTTGCAATGGCTTAAATCGGTATCTAAAATCGATTTGAATTCTGATGTAGCAATCACAGGCAGTTGTTACAAAAATACAGATTTACTTCTGCCGCACGATGATCAGTGTGAAGGACGAGCAATCGCTTTCGTACTGTATTTGTCTCCGAATTGGAAAGAAGCCGATGGTGGCCAGTTGGTTTTATATGAAACTGATGGTAAGTGAAGTACGAATCGATTCTAAGTGGTTCCGTAAATGTGTTCGTCGAAAAAAAAAATACTTTAGAATTGATCCAGCTAGATTTGTGTCCAGGCCCCTTTGCCTTAGAGATCTTGCAGTACAGCATTGCATGTTTCAAAGAAGTCAAAAGTCCTAAAGTTGACGAATAACAAGCTTAATTTTGGTAACTGAGTTTTAATTTTAGTGCCAAAAAAAATTATTTTAACTTTTTTAACTTTTCTAAACCAAAAAATTAATTTAGAAAGTTTAGCTTTTCTAAAAAAAAATTAATTTAACTTAGAAAATAACTTCGTTTTAGTGCAAGCGCTTGTTATTAATTCAGCATTACCAGTTCTTTTCTCACATCATTTTTCACGCTTTCTGTACTCTGTTATTTCTTGTATTCCTTGGTTTTCGTTATAGCAATTTTGCTCGATTAATACAAATTGCAGACCAAAACAATCCCAAATCAATCGTCAAATCGATGAATCCCGTGGAAAACACCCTGCTTTTGTTCCCAGTTTCACCACGTTCATGGCACATGGTCACAGAGGTATTTGTTAGATTTTTTTTTAAAAAACTCAGTTTTTAATAGAACTTTGCTTAGGAATACTAACTAGAAACGCTGAAACAGCAGCTGAAAAATTTTTCATTTGTTGGATCAGTTTTTGCAAGTCAGTAGCGGCTGAAGACTGACCAGTGTTGCATCAGTTATTGGCCAGCATTCTGATAATACTAACTTTGGTTTCATCTTCTGGTGGCTTTACCACCTTAGCACTTCTCCGAGCAGAGGCAGCGGGCAAAGACTTTAGCCGTTTCAAGACCTTTGGTTTGCGTTGACCATCACTGTCCTCGTGTCAGATGTCGCCACTTCCACGTCACTTTAAGGATATCTTACCAACTGGGGAGCGCTGGTATGCATTGAGCACCCCATTCCTCTTGATTTAGAGCCAGCTGCATCCACTTAACTCCGTGTAGATGTACGAATAGCACAGGCGGATCCAGGGTAACTACCCTGGAGGGCTGGGGGAGAGGAGAAACAGAGGGTGTCGAAGAGAGTTTTCTTCAGTTTTAACACTACTACCTGTACCGCTAGGGGCGGGGGGGAGGAAAGAGAGAACACCCATCGCCGCTCTTGAATCCGCAATGACTAGTAGGCCATCTGTGCTACTGATATATTTCCTTGTTCAAATTCACTTTTGAAGTTTGCTAAAGTCGCGCATTTAAGGTAACTTCGCAAAAGGAACGCATTTCGTTGCATGGTTGGTTCCACAGCGATGTTTGTGTGACAGCAGAACGAGCGAAATCAAAAAGCCCCGTTGTTGGACCAAAACCGCACATGGATATTGCTGTAAGTTCAATTTTGCCTAAATTTTGTGAGTGGATTTTGTCTTTTTTTCATTTCCTGGCACAGTTTTTGCGCCTCGCGCAATAACAGTTAGCGTTTTTTTCGTACGAAAGGCGAATGGTTCGGCTGCATCAGGTGGTCAGCCAGTTCCTGTATATTTTATTCATTTGTTGCAATGATAAGTGGGTACTAGCGCAGGTCGCGGGGTCAAACCCCGCCAGCTTGATTGTAAGCAACTCTCGAAAGAGGGAGCCATCGATAGCTTTGCCAAAAGGGTGTTGCTTCTGGCACCTTGCAGAATCCGTGTATTACATACACACAAACATACATTTATACACACATACATACACACATACACACCTACACAAATACACGTACACACACATACACACATATACATATATACATACTAATTTCACGTATTCCCTTCGTTTATATACTTAAAATGATGAGGGAAAAGGATTTTTGGCTTTTGGATGTGTACCTGAATATGGTCTTGGCGAGCTTGATGATGCTAGTCAATTTAGATTACAACTTGGCAAAATATGGGACCCACACTGATAACCTGATTTTATGAAACTAGGCAGTTTAAGAAAGCCTCACACCGATATTCCTGGCGACTTTAAGCAGTGACAGTTTATGTTGTTTTTTAGTAACTCGATAATTTGGGATATGTTATAGATAAAATATTATGTTACATTAGTAGGGACTGGCTATCTAAAGAATAATCCGTGTATTACACACACACACACACACACACACACACACACATACATATATAAATTCACACACATAAGCGCATACATACACACGCACACACACACACACACAGGCATGCGCACACACACATACATACATGCACACATGCACACCTACACAAATACGCGTATGCACACATACACACATATACATACATAAACATACATAGACATACACTCATATATACATCTACACAAATACACGAGCGCATACACACACATGCACACATATATATACATATGTTGCATACATATACATGTATACATACACACACACACGCATATGCATACCCACATATACACACGCACATAAATACATACACACACAAATGATTAATTGTT